AACATCTATCTTTCTACTACCCTTGTTCTTTTGCGTCATATAGATAGTCTTTTACAGGATCTTAGTATTTTTACATACAATATTTGTATTAAATTAGAATAAAACAATTTTCATTGAGCAATACCAGCTACACTTAGCTCTTCAAAAACGGATACATGCTACTTAAAAGCATTTTAACTAACTTTTCACTCTTCAGCAGATCAATTTTGTCTGAGCTTTTAGTATTGTAACTAGCAACATACCTTAGTTTGCTTCCACTGAAACAAGCTGTTTCTCATTGCTTTAGTGACCACATAACCTACCATGCTTTCTGGTAACCATGCCATACAACCACATCATAAGCCTCCAGGAACCCAGCCCTGCCACCAAAAAGGATGCCAACTCTGCCCACATATCTATACTGGTGGATTCATCACAGGAGCCAACAACATAAGCCACCAAATCAAAAGGTCATTTGACTGCACATCCAGTAATTTGATCTATGCCATCAAATGCGAACAGTGCCCCACTACTATATATTGGACAAACTGGACAGTCTCTGGACAGGGAAAGAATCAATGGACACAAATCAGATATATGTAAAGGAAACATACAGAAACCTATTGGTGAGCATTTCAATCTTCCACATCACACTTTGAAAGATCTCCAAGTATCTGACTTGTCACAAACAAGTTCAACAAGCCAGATCCACAGGGAAGCATTGGAATTACAGTTCAGCTGCAAATTCAGTTCACATGCTAATAAACTCTGATGAAAGTTGGTTGGGACATTACCAGTTTAACAGCCTTTGAAGGTGCAAACAGCTCTCTGGGTAGTATCCTTCCTGACATGGGTGTCTATCTATTGAATTTGATTCTTATCTGCTTCAGTTTAACTACCCAATCTTCAGATACTTACTGATGTTCCCTGTCTGCTGCCCCCTCCCTTTTTCTTCCCTCTCCCCTCCCCTTCCCCTCTCATTTATTTTGGGTGTGCACATCCTAAACTCATAACTCTGGTCATCTGAAGAAGTGGGTTGATACCATCTACATATTTTGATAGAGATGCAGCCGTGTTAGTCTGGTCTAGCTGAAACAAAAGACAGAATTATGTAGCACTTTAAAGACTAACAACATGGTTTATTAGGTGATGAGCTTTCGTGGGCCAGACCCACTTCCTCAGATCAATTTGTGGAAGAAAATTGACAAGAGCATATATACCAAAGTGATACAATTAAAAAAAAAGTGAACACATATAAAATTGACAAATCAAATTTTAGAACAGAGTGGGGGTGAGGGGCAAAGGTTAGTGTCTGTGAGGTAATAACATTAGGGGTGATAATTGGGGAAGCTATCTTTGTAATGGGTGAGATAATTAGCATCTTTGTTGAGACCCCTACATAAAGTGTCAAATTTAAGCATGAATGACAATTCTGAAGCTTCTCTTTGAAGTCTGGAGTTAAAATCTCTCTGAAGCAATATGCATGTTTTAAGGTCATTGAGAGAATGGTCAGTCTGGCTGAAATGGCAAGCATTTACTTAATAATGACTACATATTTTGTTAGTCTATAAAGTGCTACCAGACCATTTGTTGGTTTTTTTCTGTAACAGACTAATTCGGCTACCCCCTGAAGCACATAAACACAGTTAATATTTAACAGATGTGAACTATGCTTCTGTTTTCATTCCACTCCAATGAATTTGGTAACTTTTTCCTAACTTAAGAAACACTTTGTATTTCAGATACCTGGTTTCTTGCTTTCCTTGGAGGAAACAAGCATTTATTTTCTTGCATATTTCCATTTCAGGCTGTTTAATGGAATACTTTGCCCTGCTTTGCTTTGTCCAAGCTTTTCTTATAGAGCCTTAACTCCTCCCTGTAGAGTAAGGTCCTGCCCACTGTCTCCAGCCAATAGCAGCTTTTTTGCCTTTATATGGTTTAGAAGTGGAACATGTTCCATACATACCAAAAATAATGGAGAAGTCATATTTGTTGCTCAATGCCAAACTGTGAAAAACTTCTCCTACTGCTTCTAGACTAAGGAGAAAGAATATGAGTAGTGAGGGAAGAACACCCACCTTGGTGAGTGCATGTTTGCTCCACTTGGACATTTTATACTTAAAAAAAAATGGTGCTTTCTTTTTCTAATTAAGTTCAGAATCTTTCACCACATTTCTGCTAAATAGGCTTAAGGTTTCTGATCTTTCTATAGGGCTTACAGGAAAGAGAAGAAACTTTAAAAACAGTGAATAGTACTGCAGCACCTTAGAGACTAACAAAAAATGTAGATGGTATCGTGAGCTTTTGTGGGCACAACCCACTTCGTGTGAAGAAGTGGGTTGTGCCCATGAAAGCTCAAGATACCATCTACATTTTTTGTTAGTCTCTAAGGTACTGCAGGACTATTCACTGTTTTTAAAGTTTTTTTCAGTTATAGACTAACAGGGTTACCCCTCTGAGTATCAGGAAAAAGACCAATCACCAGCCATCTACTCAAGTTAATAGGCCTGCAAATATTTATGCCATGACGGACAAGGAAACTCTTCTTCCCTTCTTCCACTCTCTCTCCTGTCAATTTGACCTTGAAAATCTCACCTATGTCCTCCCCTTTTCCTCTCCTAACCTTGACGTTGTTCTTTTTCCTATCCTTGCCCATTGGCCATGTGGAAGCACTGGCGAGCCTAGTGACATCAGGAAATATGCATATTGTCTTGAGCTTACACTGAAAAATCTATTATTGTCTCTATTACACTGAGTACAGTAAAATGGCACAAAACTAATTAATATATAATCACTGTCCTGTCCATCTACAAAAACTGATATTGGAAGTGTCATTCAAAATTGTGATTGGTCCCAAATAATCTAGACTAACATTTGGAAGATACAACTAAAACATTTACCAAAAGGGGATGGTGAATTTACTTTTAAAACTCTATCTAGAAAGCACAGTTGGCTTCTCACACACACGTTCTTGTTGCTTTATGTACTATTTAATTTTTCTTTTAAGTACAACCTTGAATGAAGGCAAAATAATACTAGAGTGGCTTTCCTTTGTTTTTTACATTAACTTTTTATAATCATATAATCACAATAAACAACATTTAGGAAATTACATTTTAAATTAATTTATTGGAGAATTTAAAAGGATATGTGAAAATTTCTTTTAAAATATTCCTTAAACTAGACCATTTGTGAATTATCTCAACAGAGGATCACCAGACTTTGCCAAGAAACAATAAACACTCACATTTGGGCCGAGTATAATAATTTTTAACCCATTTTTTTCCTGAAAATTATAAGCTCCTGAAAATAGGTGCTTAGAAAGGAAATGTCTTTTCAACTACTACTGCAATGTAACACCATAATGCTTTTAAGAGCAGGTATGAAAAAAGACGGTTAAAAATTACATCATCACAGTTGATAAATACATATATGGAGAACAAATATTTAAAATGGGCTCTTCAGTCTAGCAGACAAAGATATTACATGATCCTACGGCTAGTAGTTGAAGCTAGACAAATTCAGACTAGAAATGGGGTGCAAATTGTGGATTCTTCAACACTGGCACTTTAAAAATCAAGATTGGATTTATTTTGTCTAAAAAAGATGCTCCAATTCAAACAAAAAATTAATTGATGTAAATCCTAAGCTCTGTGGTATATAGAAGGCAATGCTTGATGATCACAATGATTCCCTCCTGTCTTTATAATACACAAATTTAAAATATTAAACTTTTTATGTTTTGTTTTTAGGAAAATCTGCCCTAAGATTACAAGAGGGAACGCTTAGACAAGTAGTGAATCCATAGGACTAATGTACAGTAATAGGTGACAGAGGAGCACCACAGTGGATATTATAAATCAGTTCAAGGCATTAAATGAATATTATCAAGTCAAATGTGGCATAACATTTTGTTTTTTAAATACATTTTCACAAAATTAGATCAACAGAAATATTTCCATTATTTTTTCTTAGTTCTAGTGGAAACTTACTGTCCGACCATAGAAATACACAGAATTATTTTTGACTGTCTCAGCATAGGTATGGAACTGCTATCAAGGTGCAACACTTGTTAGGCTTAAGACAAATAGTTTGTTTGGAAATAAGGACAACAATGGCCTGACAAACTTCAGTACTTCTTTCTGTCCAGGTGTGTTGGAAAAGAGCTACCAATTTCATTATTGGAAGCATTTAATTTAAACAAAGAGGGTGAGCTCTTTCTATTGTAAATGCACTTGAGCATCCTGCAGTTTAACATGTGTAGCTCTTTCAAAGGATCTTAAATGCTCAAATCCTGCCTGTACTGCATGGACATTATACATGCCATAGCAAAGGGTAGGAGTTTGACATTTTTACAGGTTAAAGTGGAGGGGACATCAACCAGGTCAGAACTGGGGAAGCATGTGTCCCCTTGTGCTTGCCTATGGGCCATGGCTGGAATTTCACATCCATCCTCCACTGCAGGATGCTGATTGCCACATGTGCAGTGCGCTGGTGCCTAGGCCTAAGCAGTGATTGCCCTGCCTGGTGGGAAGGTGGGGGATGTTTCCAATTTATCCTCCTGCCCATGGTAGTAGGGTAGGAATAGGGAAGAGGCACCACCCAGGGAGCTGATGGGGAGGCACAGGAGAAGCTGGAAAGAGGGGGCATTTCTGGGGGGTGGAGGAGGAGGAGAGATGGGAGTAGAGTTTATTGGGGGGTAGGAGCTGGCACTAAGGGACTTTGTATGAGGGTCTGTGGGAACTAGGAGATTGGGCTCCCATTACCAGGGAGAACCTTGTGGGAGATTCTCTGCCTCCAAATTCCCCCCTCCCCAGTCGCTCTCGCAATGAGACAGGAAGAGAACCACTCTCCTAACGTCTGTTAATTACGGGTTGATGGGTCAGCTGGTTGTCGTGCACGCCCGCCCGCCCCTTTTTCCCCCTCTCCCCATTGGGTAAGCGAAACAACTCGGCACAGGGACTCTATAGAAACCGCGGCTTAGGGGCCCCTTGAGGAGCCAATCGGAACCCTTGCACAGGGAGCCAATCAGAGAGGCTGTGACATCCAGTGCAGGATGAGGCGAGAGCGTCCCTAATTGGGAAGCTGCCCCAGGAGGTTACTGCTTCTGTGGTGCGTCCCGCTCCTTCAGCTCTAGCGCCTCTCCTGCTGCGGCAGGGGTCCCTGCAGGACATGGAGCCGGCCCAGGTTGTGGTGATTGGCAGGTAAACTCCAATGGTCTTGATTGCCGGCAGGGGGGCCCGACTCCAGACTTCCTGCTTAGCGGTGCTGAGCCACCAGGGGCTCTAGCCACAAACGCCTCGGGGAAGTGCAAAGGGGTTGGGCGTTTCACTTCAGCCCTGGACTTCGAGCTGTTGGAATTGATTCCTGATGGAGCCAGTGCGCTGCCAATGAGGGCAGGCACAAAATGTTGCATTAGTTTTTGCTGATTTAACAGCAGCCAGATACCACAGCAAGATGTTAACTGAGTGTATATTATATAATCACACAGAGTAACATACTGTGTATATATATATATATTATATAGCAGTGAAAATTACAATTAGTACAGGTGGCGTCAACTTTGTAATGATTTTCCTGTGCTTTGATGCGTTTGGTTTACTCTTCACTCATGTGTCATTCTGTTGCTGATAAATTTGAATCCTTCTGAAAACTTCGTTCTGCAGCTAGAGTCCCTTTTGCTATGTCTTTTTATAGCTTTGTGAGCATGTGCACATTTTCTCCATAGTCATTTATTGTTGAAGCTCAACCCTCCATGTACTGTCTGCATTATGTGTGGGTGAATAGAGTTGCGTTCAGGTTTATGTAAGGGTCATAAAGTGTGTACAGAAATTAGATATACGATACAATGATACTTATTTGCAGCAAGACATGATGTATAACATTGTGGGACTAAAGCATTAATACAAGTCACATTTCAATTTGTTTTTCAGGTAAAACTGAATAGCTTTTTAGTTTAAAAATAGCTTTTTCCAGCTATTTCAGATTTATCCATGGCTCTGAGTAAGAACTGTAACTGGGCACCTTCTACTGACTGGCTGTGTACTCTGCCACATTTTAGGCCTGAGTTTTATTTTCAGGCACATGACTTTATGGTGTCACATGACAGCGACCAGACTAATAGTAGTTACACTTAGTTACTAACATTTGCCATAGTTGTGCTGAAGATCAGAAGGCTTGTCCTGTCTGTATGTAACTTATAGCACAACCATACAATTCAGCTGAACCAAGACAAAGTGTGGGAATGTTGTGAGAGATGGCACACCATGCCTACTGGAATCTAAGGGCATCCTGTACCTGTGTTGTGTTGACATTTAACAAGAGCCATGCTCTCTGAGTGTGTTAGTCAAAGAATGGAATGAAGATTTTAAAAAGTTTTCCAAAACTTGGCCCTTACTTGGGATCAGGACTTCACAATATATGAATTTCTCTTTTACACTAAAACTGCAAAATAGTAAGAAGTTTATAACAGTTTAAAAAGCACTTGACAAATACCTAATTTGAAAATAAAATAATAACCATGATTTGAGGTGGCCACAGTGGCTAACAAGTTTTAGTGCCATATCTGCATAGATAAACCACTTAAAAATTGATGAAAGTGGGTTTATTTAACTTTTTTTTAA